CTTCCAATCAGTTGGCATTATAGTTTTTTTTCCAAAATTCTTGGCATAGATGAATGAGTGCCTCCAGTGCCACCTCACTTTGTTGAAAGATTTCCATTTGTATTCCATCAATTCCCGGTGTCTTGTTCTTTGCCAATTCCTTCAATGCACCTTGGACTTCTTCCTTCAGTATCACAAGTTCTTAATCATATACTACCTCTTGAAATGGTTGAACATAGACCATTTCCTTTTGGTACAGTGACTCTGTGTATTCCTTCCATCTTCTTTTGATGCTTTCTGCATCATTCAATATTTTACCCACAGAATACTTCAATATTTCAAGTCAAGGCTTGAATTTTTTCTTTGGTTCGCTCATCTTGAGAAATGCTGAGTGAGTTATTGCTTTTTGGTTTTCTAACTTCAGATCTTTGCACAATTCTTTGTAATATTTGACTTTCTCTTCTCAAGCTAATCTTTGAAACTTTCTGTTCAGCTCTTGTACCTCATTTCTTCCATTTGTTTTAGCATTTCTATGCTGTAGAGCAAGTTTCAGTCTCTTGGGACATCTATTTTGATATTTTCCTTCTTTCTTGTCTTTTTAATAACTCTTTGCTTTCTTTCTGTATAATGTTCTTGATGTCATCCTACAACTCCTCTGGTCTTCAGTCTTTAGTGTTTAATGTATCAACATTTTCCCTGAAACTCTCTGTAGCTACCACCCACTCTCTTTTACTGTTGACCATCATAATGAGGAATCTAAGTAAGTGTGACTGCCAGTCATTTATTGTTAACCCTTCTTTCTTTTTCTGGTAGCTGTTGAGATTGTATCTTTATCCTAGATGTCTGCAGTTTCACTATAGTGTATCTAAGTGGTTTAGAATCTTTTATCTTTTCATGTTTTCAAAATACTCTGTATTACAAGGTAGAAATTTTTCCAATGCATTGTAAGAAGAAAAGTATGGATTTATTTTTATTTGTCCTGTCAGAATTAAGAGAACACTTTCATTCTTAGAATTCAGGTCTTTCTTTAGTTCTCAGTAATTTTCCACTTCTCCAATATTCCCTCTAATTCCATCTGCTAGAACTCATATTAAACTAATTTGAAACCTATTGGTCTGTATTCTAGGTTTCTTAACTGTTCATCAAACATTTTTATATTCCATGCTTCTTTATGTGGTCTAGACAGATAGAGTGTGGTGACAAAGGCAAAAGTAGAAGAGACTTAGCTTTGTCCAAATCTCAGTCCATGCCACAGAAGGTAAAAGTGAAGGAACCATTTTAATGTAAAGATTGATGAATTCCTAAGGAAATTCACAATGAAATATAATTTTTCATGAAAAACACCAACTTTAATTATCATGTCTTTCAAAAGTATCATTCTTTTATCAATCTTTTGCTAGGATGTGACTAAATTAGTGATGTGCTTGTAGTTGTTAAGTGCCATCGAGTTAGTTCTGACTGATAGTGACCCTGTAGTGGGTTTCTAAGGAGCAACTGGTGAGCTTGAACCACCAACCTTGCAGTTCAAACCAACTTTGCAGTCTAGCACATTAACCCACAGCACCATACCAGGATTCTAGTGATGTGCTTAGAGGGGATGTAACTTTCTAATTTACTGGGAGACTACCATTCCAAATACAAAGTTGGGTGAGGAAAGGGAAATAAGAGATATGCAAGCACAGGCCAGCAGATTTAGACAGTTGCTCAAGCAAAAATCTCTTATATTTTCATGGGATTCCATACATCATGTAGGGAGAAGGTGACTCTCTGGGAACACAGCAGTAGTGAGAGCAGGATAAACCTGGCCTACACTCTGGATAGGAGTCCTGGTGCGGCTGTAGGGTAAGCACTGGGCTGCTAACTACAAAGTCAGCAGTTTAAATCTACAAGCTGCTCCTTGAAAAAACAAGTCACACATACTCTCGATAGACTTGCTGAAACATAGCCATCTCAAAAGCCCCTTGAAATCAACTCCAAGCACATGTAGAGGTCCTCTGGTGAATATTTATCCACTATATTTTCTTGTATCTCCTAGTCCTGGATGCTATAGAATAAAGAGTGCACATTAACTGCAAAATTAATGGTTCAACCCACCAGCTGCTCCTTGGACACTCTATACAGCATTGCTATGAGTCAGATCTGACTCAACATCACTTAACAAGTATTCTATAGTTAGAAAGTAATGTAATTGTTGTTGTTGTTAAGTGCCCGTCGAGTTGGTTCCTACCCATAGCAACCCTGTACAGGGTTTCCGAGGCTGTACATCTTTACGGGAGCAGAATGCCTCATCTTTCTCCCACACAGCAGCTGGTAGTTTTGAACAGCTGGCCTTAAGGTTCGTAGCCCGATTCATAACCACTACACTACCAGAGTAAGTAATGTAATAATGTAACTAATATTTATAAGTTTGATATGAACTTCACTTGCATAGCATTTGCTTCTATCAAATGTAGATCAAGCAAATTTAAATTATACTACAAGCTTTGGATTTAAACCAAGTCCTGAGAATGCATGATTGTATCACGTTTTCTTTTGCTTTTCTTGACATTTTGCCTGTTTGCTTCCTTGAGTAGAAATATAAGAAGTGCAAGAGTAATGGGAAAGTTTTTGCTGGGTTGCGTCTAACTTTTCCTTAAAGAACCCATCTGCTTTCCATTCTCCAGCTGAGCAACAGAACTGTCAGGTTGCAAGAAACTTAAAAAAAAACTCTTCTTCAACTGAGTTGTTGTTAAGTGCCATAGTCAGTACCAAACTTATGAGAACCAAACAACAACAGAACAAAACACTGCCTGGTCCTGCACAAACTTCACAATTGTTGTTATGCTTGAGCTCATTGTTGCTGCCACTGTGCCAATCCATCTTGTTGGGGTCTTCCTTATTTTCACTGACCCTCCACTTTATCGAACATGATATCCTTTTCCACGGAGTGGTCCCTCCTGATAGTATGTCATAACTATGAGAGACAAAGTCTCGCCAACCTGGCTTCTAAGGAGCATTCTGGCTGTACTACTTCCAACATAGATTTGTTTGTTCTTTTGGCAGTCAATGGTACTTTTAATATTCTCTTCCAACACCATAACTCAAATGCATCAATTCTTCTACAGTCTTCCTTATTCACAGTCCAACTTTCAGATGTATATGAGGCTATTGAAATACCATGGCTTGGGTTGGGTGCGCCTTAATCCTCAAACTGACATCTTTGCTTTTGAACATTTTAAGAGTCTATGTGCAACGGATTTGCCTAATGCAATATGTCATTTGATTTCTTGAATGTTGCTTCCATGAATGTTGATGGTTTGTCAAAGCAAAATGAAATCTTTGACAACTAAAGTTTTTTCTCCATTTACCAATTGTAGGAACTTTCTTTAACTCAGCCATAACCACTTCTCAGCACTTCCCACTCTGGTCAGGGTTTAGATGTGGGACAAAATAAAACACATGGGAAAACTTTTTTCTAATTCTTTTTTGTTTTACTTTAATTGTAAGTTCAGTGAAAGGCTACAGAGCAGATCATCAGTTTTACATTCAACAAATTATATACTTCATTTTATCTCAGTGATTGCAATCTCCTCAATATAACATTCCACACTTATCCTACTTCCTCCCTGTGATATTTATTTCCATTCCACTTTCTTTCCCAGCTCTTCCAAATTTTGTCCTTAGGTAAATGCTGCCCTTTTGGTCTCAGGTAGTTGACCATTTTATGGTGTGCATACTTCATTAGTGTTGTTGTCCAACCTATATACCTATCTACTGCTTGACTGAAAATTGAACCACAAGGGTGAATTCAGTTACAGATTTGAAAGTGACCAAGGGCCATAGTCTCAGAGTTCCTTCTGCTTCTTTCTGACCTTTTTTATGATCATTTTATATATGATTTTTTAATATATAATTTTGTTCCACATTTTCTTATACTATATCCAAGACCTTCTAATGAGATCCCTTTCAGGGCTGTTATAGTTGGGCACCATCTAATTCTTCTAGTCTCATCGTCCTGGATTTTGATGTTTATGTGTTCCATTAGTTCATTGAACTATTTCTTTCCAAGCATTATCAATTTTCATCACTCTTCTTTCCTCCAGTCAGGGAGAGAACAATAGCTGCATCTTTGATGTCTACTTATGAGCTTATAAGATACCAGTCACTACTCACCAATGGATGCAGAACACTGTATGTGTGAGTTATGTTATGTCAATTGGCCATGGTATCCTTTGGCACCATTCTTGGTGCCCACATTACACATTGAGTATATGTACTGTGGCACTGTGTATTAATGCGCTGGACTGCAAGGTCAGTTTGAACTGCAAGATCGACAGTTCAAGCTCACCAGCTGCTCCTTGGAAATCCTATATGGGGTCTCTATGAGTTGGAATTGACTCTACAGCACTTAACAATAACAACAACCTGATCATCAAGAGCAAACTACATTAACTTACCTTCACTCCTGAGTTTCTGTGTGCCATAAGTCAAGTTTTCTTGAAAAAGACTTAGACAAGAGTTTTATAAGAGAGTATTCTCAGGACAAAAACCTATGATGGGGGAAGGGAATTAAGGAAACAAAACTGGACACAAGGAGAAGTTGCTTGTGATACCTCAGCTGATCCTCTGGAGAGCTCAGAGCTGGGATGATCCTTCAGAGTGGTTTCAAACTGAAGCAAGGTCAGGGCCTTCATCTCCTCATTGATCATTCATGGTATTCAGGCACACCACAGAGAACATGACCTTGACAATGTGGCTTTCTTCAACCATATTTAATTCCTGTAGAGGGATGCAGTTATGGGGATAAAGACTTCTGTTCCTTCTACATTTTGCAACTCCATAGGCCCCAGCCTTTCTTGTTCAATGCCCTCATTCAGCATGCATCTGATTAGCTTAATTGATTTATTAATCTGATTAACTGTGGCCAGAGAATCATATTTATTTTCAGTAAACTGTATTTGTTTCTCCTCCAGTCAAAATTAATATCACATTGACTAATCCAAATTCCTAAGCCAGAAGCCTGTATCAGCAGGTACCCCCACCTAACCCTGTTCCCTACCACAGGAACACCTTCCCAGGAGTTTTCTCAGAGCCCCGGTCACTTCCTTGTTCCTCAGACTATATATGAGAGGGTTCAGCATGGGAGTGATCATGGTATAGAAGGCAGAGACCACCTTGTCCTGTTTGGAAGAGTGGTAGGCCTGGGGTCGCATGTAGGTGATCATGGCAGCCCCATAGAAGAGGGAGACAACCACCATATGGGAGGAGCAGGTAGCAAAGGCCTTCTGCCTGCCTTCTGCAGAGCGCATGCGGAGCACAGCCACCAAAATCCGCAGGTAGGAGGCGGAGATGACAGAGAAGGGCAGGAGCAGCATGAGGACACAACAGACATAGATCATAGTTTCATAAAGTGAAGTATCAGCACAGGCCAGCTTGAGCACAGCGGGAACCTCACAGAAGAAGTGGTCGATCTCCTGAGAGCCGCAGTAGGGGAAGCGAAGGGTGAAAACTGCCTGGATCAGCCCATCCACCAGTCCAAAGAGCCAGGACCCTGCCACCATGAGCCAGCAGACACGGCGGCTCATGACTACTGAGTATCTTAGTGGGTTGCTAATGGCCACGTAGCGGTCGTAGGCCATAAAGGCCAGCAGAAAGCACTCATCTCCCAGAAGGGTGAGAAAGAAGAGGATCTGGATCCCACAACCTGTAAAGGAGATGGAGCCACCACCCAGTAGGAAGTCCACAGCCATCCGCGGCACAATGGTGGAGATGAGCATGAGATCCATGAGTGACAACCAGCTGAGGAAGAAGTACATGGGGCTGTGCAGGCGGGAGTCAACGTTGATGAGCAGGATCATGAGCCCGTTGCCAGACAAGGCCACCAGAAACATGACTGTGATGATGGAGAAGAGGAAAAGGTGCAGTGGAGAATGAGTGAAGAGGCCCAGGAGAATGAAGTGGGGGATGAGAGTTTGGTTTCCCATCAAGACCATTGTTCCTACAGAAGTGTGCACCAGGGAGGTTTGGGATCTGAAAAGCATAAGATTTAAGTTTAGTGCTGTGATATTGAGGACATTATAACTGTGTCTGATGAGTTTTCCTCTTTAAATGTTACTTGGTTTATAATAAAAGGTTTGACCTGTTTATGGAAAAATTTAAATGCAGATTTCTAGGACTTTTTGGTGAAAAGGAAATCTCAGGCTATTTATCTCTAAAATGGAAACTCAACAGCTTCTGCTGAAAATAAATGTCTGTTCACCTGCACACATAGTTGCATATTTCACAAAGCTCTAGGCCAGTCTCAGTTCAGAATTTGCTTTTACAGAAATCAGCAAAGGTATTTACCAGCTGTGTGAACTAGACACCTTTTATAACATCTCTGAGCCTCAGTTTTCTTATCTTAAATTGGAATAGTCATTTACTCTAACTTATAGAGTAACTTTTGTTCTGTGGGAGAAAGATGAGGTTTTCTGTTCCCGTAAAGATTTACAGCCTTGGAAAACCTATACAGAGTCGCTATGAGTTGGAACCGACTCCACAGCACATAACCACCTTAGAGTAACTGTGAAAATTGAGGGTGATAATATAAGCAATAATTTTAAAATGATAACTAGCATTCATTGATCATTTTTCTTGGGCCAGGAACTGCAATGATCTTTGCATGCTGCATCTTTGCATTTAATTCTTGTAACTACTCTGAAAGGTGGTGGTGTGCCTGACAGTCAATCCTGTATAGAGTTTTCAAGGCAGTTCATCTTTACAGGAGCAGAAAGCCTCACCTTTCTCCCACAGAGCAACTGGCAGATTCGAACTGCTGACCTTCCAGTTAGCAGCCCAATGGGTAACCGCTATGCTATCAGGAATCTTAGCCCTGAAAGAGAGATGATCATTATCTCCATTTCACAAACCGAGAAACTAAGATCAAGGGAAGTTTATTACATTTTTTCTTGTTGTTGCTTTTTTGTTTGTTTCATCAGATACTTAAACTGACAGTATTTCTTAATAAGCCTAGTAAATGAGAAATTGGAGGTACCCTAACTGTACAAAATAAGTAAATTTTGGTACAATCATGTTATAAAATAATATGTAGGAAATAAGTTATTAACACTGCTGCTAGCCTCCCTCTTTGGACTCCTGGTGTGGCACTCTAGGATCAGCACTGGACTGCTAACCACAAGGTTGGCAGTTCAAACCTACCAGTTGTTCCTTGGAAACCCTACAGAGGGTTGCTATGAGTCAGAACAGACTCAATGGCACTTAACAGCAACATATATATATATGTGTGTGTGTGTGTGTGTATATAGTTGTTGTTGTGGTTAAGTGCCATCAAGTTGGTTCCATCTCATAGCAACCTTGTACAGGGTTTCTGAGGAATAGCTAGTGGGTTTGAACTGATGACCTTGTGTTTCTCAGTCTAGTACTGATCCAAGAGTGCCACATTATATACAAAGAGAGAAAGAGAGGAAGAGAGAGAGAATTCCTAAACATTTCTAAAAACTAGAAGGAATTATATCAAGATATTAACAGTGTAACTTATTTAAGGTAGTAGAGTTAAGAGTTATTTCTTCCAAGTTTCTTTGAACTTCACAAATTTTCTATAAGGAACATGGGAATATTTATTTTTTAAAACATTCACACTATATATAGAATCAATAGCTTTCTCATACAATATCAAATAATCCATTAGTAAAACTAATAGAAAAATGTATCTTATTCACAATTGCAACAAAAATTATAAAGTACTAGGAAAGAACCCTGTAGATTTATTTTTAAAAACTTTACAAACACACACAAAAAAAAAAAAAAAAACTTTACTGAAAGACATAAAATAAAGTCTGACAAAATGGAAAATTATGCATATTCTTGGATAAAATAAAAACTGTAAGGATTTAAATTATCTCCCAAATTAATCTATAAAATCTTTATGATCCCAATTAGAACCCCAATAGGAAATATACAGTGCTATTTCCCTCTGAAATATCAATCACCCAAAAGCAACAAGGAAATTAAAAGAAGCTCGAAGTCAACTCTTAACTAAATTGGGAAAGCTGAAACTACAAAATATATAGACAGCACATCAAAAGGAGTATAGACTGAGCAAAGGTGATGTAGAAAGTGCAAAACGAACAATTTCAAGTATAGATCACAGAAGCTACCTCTGCAAAGAGAGGGGCATATATTGAGCAAGACAAACATTGCTCATTTACACTAGTGAGAAGACCCTCTCTGGAGCCTCTCTGAATCCAATTTCATTCAAAGGAGCAGAGAAATTGTAATACAATAAAGGATTGCATCATGTCATTGTTGTTGTTGTTAAGTGCTGTAGAGTCACTTCAGACTTTATATAGGGTTTTCAAGCAATGTCTTGTGAGTTTGAACTACCCACTTTGTGGTTTGTGGTCCAATGCTTATCTTACAGTGCCACAACAAGAATTCAAAGGATCTCATAGACAAGTGTTATTTACAGAGAGAATTCTGTTTATGTGACACTGAAATAAAAGAAAATTTGCAATAAAAAAGCCCTGCACAATATTGTTGTTGTTGTAAAGTGTCATTGAGTCAATTCTGAGTCATAGCAACCTTGAACAGGGTTTTCAAGGAGCATCTAGTGGGTTTGAGCCGCCAACCTTGTGGTTCACAGTCCAGTGTGTATCCTACAGCTTCACACCAGGACTTCTATATAATATTAATCTCTGGTAAAAATATACTTTAAAGCAAAAACCAGCATAAGAGACAAAAGAGATACTATATTATATTTTTAATATACTATATTATATATTATTATTTAAGATACTATATTATATATTATTATTAAAAACTCAGTTGAACAAGAGGACTTAGCCAAAATAAATACCTATGCTCCCAGTGAAAGAACCTCAAAACACATAAATCAAACTCTAATAGAACTTAAGAAAGAAATAGACAACTCCACAATAGTAGTAGGATATTTTAATACATCACTTTCAATGAAGGACAAAACAACTAGAAAGAAACTCAACAAAGACACAGAACTCAACAACACAATCAACCATCTTGAACTCATAGACATCTACAGAACACCTAGTAAAACAGTAGCACAATATATATTCTTCTCCAGTGCACACTGATCATGTTTCAGAATATACCATGTTAGGCCACAAACAAAACCTCAGTAAATTTAACAACATCAAAATGTAACAAAGCACTATCTCAGATCACAATGCTGTAAAATTAGAAATCAATAGGAAAATAAGGGGAAAAAATTAAATATATGAAATTGAATAGCACCCTACTTAAAAGTGACTGGGTAATAGAAGAAAATTTAAAAATGAAATTTAAAAATTCCTTGAATCAAATGATAATGCAAAGAGTACTGTCTTAGTTATCGAATGCTGCTATAACAGAATTACCATAAGTGGATGGCTTTAACAACCAGAAGTTTCTTCTCTCACAATTTAGGAGATTAGATGTCCAAGTTCAGAGTACTGGCTCTTGGGGAAGACTATCTCTTTGTTGGCTCTAGGTAAAGATCCTTGTCTCCTTTCAGCATCTGTAGGCCCAGTATTCCTTGGAAAATGCCGTATGTCTTGGCATCAATCTTCCCCTGGAACTAGGAGCTTCACAGTTAAAGGAGTCCAGGTCCAAAGGGCACAGTCTGCTTCCGCCTTTTCTATCAGTGGTAGTAGATCTCTCTTTTTCTGCTCAAGTCTCTCTCCTTTTATCTCTTGTATGCCACACACTTGGGAATCTCCCATAAATCAAATCAGGGTGGTGGTTGGATTAAGGATGGTGTAACACACTCTTGGAGTACTGGTGTGGCAATATAGGATGGCTATTGGACTGCTAACTGCAGGGTCAGCAATTCAAATTCACCAGATACTACTTGGAAACCCTATGCAAGGTTGCTATGAGTTGAAACCAACTGGACAGCACTTAACAACAATAAGCCACTCTTAAACCTCTTATGAAGTACTGATGTGACACCATAGGATAAGCACTTGATCTCAAAGTCAGTTTGAACCACAAGGTTGGCAGTTCAAACTCACCAGCTGCTCCTAGGAAACCCTATACAAAGTCACTATGAGTTGGAACCAACTGGACGGCATTAACCAACAATAGCAAACTTCTTATTAGTTTATCATATCAAATCACTTCCTGGGGGACAGTTACATCTCAACTGCCAAACCACTGAGAATCCTGGCCCAGTCAAATTGACAACTACGTACCAAAACCTTTGGGACACATCAAAAGCAGTACTCAGATGGCGATTTATAGAATTAAACACACACATCCAAAAAGAAGAAAGAACCAAAAT